GAAAAAGCCTCAGGAACCAAGCTTTGAGAAGCTTATAGAAGAGGAAGAACTCCCAAAAGAGACTGAGAAGGAACTACCAGAATGGTAAGAGGAAAACCATAAGAATGTAATATCACAGGAAAATTTTCTCTTTGATGCTTGGCCCAATACAATTCTGACCCCATAGCAGATGTCAAAAGTGTCAGATTAGATGTGTAAAATGTGAGAACTAGCAAGGGATCACAGGAGTACTTTAATCTGGCCTCTTCAGCTATAAAGAGAAATACCTATCCAGAGAGGTGAAGCTCACAAGTAACCCGTGGCACAGCCAGGACTCCCAAACCAGGAGTTTTATTTTCCCACTTTAAATAATTTAGAAATTTGCCATCTTCCATTTGAGTATTCGTAATTATTGTGAAGAATATTCCTCAGAGAAAACAGATAAATTAAGCTATTGCCATTTTACAGGAAATTGAGATATTTGAAGGTTAAAAAGATCTTAAGAGCCCCAAGAAAGATAAGAAGCACAGACTATAACTTTTAGCCTTATTTCTCCAGGCTCTCCTAGAGTGTTTAAGTGCTTTTTTCTAACGTGGCCTCTCCCGTTGTGCAGCACAGGCTCCGGACGCGCAGGCTCAGCGGCCATGGCTCGCGGGGCTAGCCGCTCCACGGCATGTGGGATCTTCCTGGACCGGGGGAAGAACCCATGTCTCCTGCATCGACAGGCGGACTCTCAACCACTGCGCCACCAGGGAAGCCCACTCCTTCCCATTTTTACCTTAAGGATTTCTCTCCCAGGAATTCCCTGGTGGTCCAGTGATTAGGACTCCGCACTCTCATTGCTGAGGGCCTGGGTTCGATCCCTGGTCCGAACCCTGATCGGGGAACTAAAATCTCACAAACTGTGTGGTGCAGCCAACTGTCCTGTCAGGTCTGGTGACCCTTCTCTCCCTATTTTTTTCTGATGAGGTCAGAAATCGTGAAAATTAAGCACATCTCATTTTTATGTTTGATGCCTGCTTCAGAAAGTTATTTTAGTCAATGCAATGGCTGTCTGCCTCCCAGAAGGACAAATCTGCGCCTTACTCCTAAACATTCAAAGGTAAATTGTTTTATTAACCCCATTACCCACCTTTATATTTGAGATTCAGGATAATCAGAAATGTGGAATATTGATTCTAGGGTGAGTAGATTGGGAGTGCTGTGAGCCTCAAACCTAAAGTTGTCTATCTTACTTTAGTGTCTAAAATTCCCCCATTAGTGACTCATCGTCCTCTTTAGAACTCCTCTTAAATGCCAATAATATCCTTGAAAGGAGTAAAAAACTAGCACCATTCTGTGAATGGATTTGCTTTTATTTCCCCCTTTTTGAAGCACACTGTGGGCAAGTTGAGATCACCATGAACCCAGGTGATAAAGAGGTTGCTAAATGTGAGAGGAAAGGCACAGAAAGAGGAGGTGGGTAACAAGAGAAATACTATTTACTTTACAATTCTGTCCTGGGCCCATGCTCTAAGCAATTATACTTTTGGAGCTCTAGTTATTAGTGTCCTGCCCACTGATGGCTCTCCACATTTGGTAGCTTTGTATCTAGGTCAAGAAGTAGGCATGTTCTTATGGAGTCTTCTGTTGTGAGACTAAATGTGTGCACAACATACCAAAGAATTTGTGTGATGATAAAAATAGTTTTCTATTGTACTATAAGCATACTTCTAGAAAGAATTTAGTGTTCAAACGTCAAAATAAGTTGAGTGACTTTAAAAAATACTTTATGTCAAATGAAAGTTATTCTATCACAAATCCAGCCAAGAGCTCCTCAACTCTCATCTAAAGATACAGATTTCGGGCATAGGAGGGAGGCCAGGGAGATCAGGAGAGGCAGGCAGGAGAGGCCCTCCCAGACCAGAGGAGCAAGAGAGGAGAGGAGGGCATTTGCCTCACCCACTTGAGCCCAGGAAGCCTTCTGGGCTCCCAGGTGAGGTCCCCTGCCCTCTGAGACCAGGGGTGGGGGGCACACCTGGGCCCCTTCTGTTCCTTGAGCCTAAGTCCCACCCCCCACAGCCCCCAGGGCCTTTTCCAGCCCTGTGGGTCCTGAGCATTGGCCCCGCCCACTGCCCAAACCTCATCCTTGCTTAGGCCCCGCCCTCCACAGCCAAGGCCTTTTCCCCCCCACCTTTTTTCTTCTTTTTCCCTCCTCCTCTTTTTTACTATTGTGGTACTGATGTACCTTCTGGTTGTTGATTCATATATTTTTTAAAATTAATTAATTAACTTATTTGTTTATTTATGTATGGCTACATTTGGTCTACATTGCTGCTCGTGGGCTTTCTCCAGTTCCAGTGAGCAGGGTCCACTCTTCGTTGCAGCACGTGGGCTTCTCACTGCGGTGGCTTCTCTTGTTGTGGAACACAGGCTCTAGGCGCGCGGGCTTCAGTAGTTGTGGCACACAGGCTCAGTAGTTGTGGCTCATGGGCTCTAGAGCACAGGCTCAGTAGTTGTGGCGCACAGGCCCAGCCACTCCATGGCATGTGGGATCTTCCCACACCAGGGCTCAAACCCATGTGCCCTGCACTGGCAGGAGGATTCTTAACCACTGCATCACCAGGGAAGCCCCATCTATATTTTTATTTTTATATTCTTTCTAACATATCTGTTAGTTTCATAGTCTAATTTTATTTTTTACTTTGTTATTGTTCTTTTTTTTTGGCCACCCCATGCGGCTTGCAGGATCTTGGTTCATGAGCCCAGGGTCAGGCCGAAGCTCCTGTGGTGGGAGCTCTGAGTCCAAACCACTGGACTAGCAGAGAACCTCAGACCCCAGAGAATATTCATCAGAGTGAAGTCTCACAGAGTTCCTCATCTCAGCACCAAGACCCAGCTGTACCCAATAGCCTACAAACTCCAGTGTTGGAAGGCTCAGGCCAAACAACCAGTAAGACAGGAACACAATCCCACTCATAAAAAAAGAAAAAAAAATTAGATGGCAAAAAAATATGTCACAGATGAAGGAGCAAGATAGAAACCTACAAGACCAAATAAATGAAAAGGAAATAGGCAGTCTACCTGAAAAAGAGTTCAGAGTAATGATAGTAAAGATGATCCCGAATCTTGGAAAGCGAATGGAGGCACGGATTGAGAAAATACAAGAAATGTTTAACAAAGATCTAGAAAAACTAAAGAACAAACAAACAGATGAACAACACAATAACTGAAATGAAAAATACACTAGAAGGAATCAATATCAGAATAACTGAGGCAGAAGAACGAATAAGTGAGCTAGAAGACAGAATGGTGGAAATATCTGCTGAGGAGCAGAATAAAGAAAAAAGAATGAAAAGAATTGCAGACAATCTCAGAGACTTCTGGGACAACACTAAATGCACTAACATTCAAATTATAGGGGTCCCAGAAGAAGAAGAGTAAAAGAAAGGGTCTGAGAAGATATTTGAAGAGATTATAGTTGAAAACTTCCCTAACATGGGAAAGGAAATAGTCACCCAAGTCCAGGAAGCACAGAGAATCCCATACAGGATAAAACACACCAAGACACTTATTAATCAAACTAACACAAATTAAATTCAAAGAAGAAATATTAAAAGCTGCAAGGGAAAAACAAAAAAAAAACATACAAAGGAGGGCTTCCCTGGTGGCGCAGTGGTTGAGAGTCCGCCTGCCGATGCAGGGGACAAGGGTTCGTGCCCCGGTCCGGGAAGATCCCACATGCCGCGGAGCGGCTGGGCCCGTGAGCCATGGCCACTGAGCCTGCGCGTCCGGAGCCTGTGCTCTGAAACGGAAGAGGCCACAACAGTGAGAGGCCTGCGTACCGCAAAAAAAAAAAAAACATACAAAGGAATCCCCACAAGGTTATCAGCTGATTTTTCAGTGGAAACTGCACGCCAGAAGGGAGTGGCAGGACATATTTAAAATGATAAAAGAGGAAAACCTACAACCAAGACTACTCTACCCAGCAAGGATCTCATTCAGATTCGATGGAGAAGTCAAGAGCTTTTCAGACAAGCAAAACTGAAGAGAATTCACCACCACCAAACCAGCTTTAAAACAAATGCTAAAGAAGCTTCTCTAAGCAGGAAACACAAGAGAAGAAAAAGACCCACAAAAACAAACCAAAAACAATTAAGAAAATGGTAATAGGAACATACATATCGATAATAACCTGGAATGTAAATGGATTAAATGCCCCAACCAAAAGACACAGACTGGATGAATGGATATAAAAACAAGACCCATATATATGCTGTCTAAAAAAGACCCACTTCAGGCCTAGGGACACATACAGACTGAAAGTGAGGGGATGGAAAAAGATATTCCATGCAAATGGAAATCAAAAGAAAACTGGAGTAGCAATACTTGTATCAGATAAAATAGACTTTAAAATAAAGACTGTTACAAGAGATAAGGAGGGACACTACATAATGATCAAAGGATCAATCCAAGAAGAAGATATAACAATTATGTATGTTTATGCACCCAACATAGGAGCACCTCAATACATGAGCCAAATGCTAACAACCATGAAAGGAGAAATCGACAGTAACACTTTAACACCCCACTTACACGGATGGACAGATCATCCAAAAAGAAAATTCATAAGGAAACACAAGCTTTAAATGACACAATAGACCAGATAGATCTTATTGATATTTATAGAATATTCCACCCAAAAGTGGCAGAACACACTTTCTTCTCAAGTGCACACGGAACATTCTCCAGGATAGATCACATCTTGGGTCACAAATCAAGCCTCAGAAAATTTAAGAAAATTGAAGTCATATCAAGCATATCTTCTGAGCACAACAGTACGAGACTGGAAATCAATTCCAGGAAAAAAATGGTAAAAAACACAATACATGGAGGCTAAACAGTGTGCTACTAAATAACCAAGAGATCACTGAAGAAATCAAAGAAGAAATTTTAAAAATACATAGAAAATAGTGACAACGAACACACGATGACCCAAAACCTATGGGACGCAGCAAAAGCAGTTCTTTTTTTTTTTTTTTTACCTTGAGCATAAATACTTTATTGTCATCTTAGGGTTCTCAGGCAGGTGGGGCTGTTGCACATCATGGGAGGGCAGGTACACTGAGCTGATGGCAGAGCTGCGACCAGTGCTCCCTCTGTCCTCTCTACCCTCCCCCCACTCCGTGGCTCGATGGAGTGCAAGTGGGTCATTCATAGGCTGCCCCTGGGGCCTTCTCAGATAGAAAGGAAAGGGCCCCCCGACATGTGCCCCCACACCCCCTCATAAGTGCCTCGCCCTGTACCCTTCTCCTCATAGTCTGCTACTGCTCTTTCTACAATTAACATTCATACTTGGGTGGTCAGTACCACACCGAGGAAGGTCTTACTACCCCTGTCCTTTTCCTGTCAGCTTCCAGTCCTTGTCCTGTCTGGCTCCCTAAACAGGCTGAGCCAGTCAGTCAGTGCACTCTGCCTTTCAGGCCCAGGCCCTACACAACCTCCTTCCTCTTGCTGCCCCACCTGCAGCTGCACCCCCACCCCCACACTCCCATCCCGGACCCCAGTTCAGACCAGGGCTCAAGTCTTCCGGTGCATTCTGCTTTCAGGATCACGTGCTCCCTGTGGGCACACCGTCTTACAAACCTCTTTTAAGTCTCCTTGACCTCAGTCCTTGGCAGGGCCCTTCAGCCTTCCAGTCAGCGGACCGGGGCCCAATCCCAAAGCCAGAGTTTCTGGATATGTCCCCACCCATCCTCCTGCGACCTCACCTCCCGGGGGCAGGATGGCGGGGAATGGGGCCGGTTGGTCCGCCTCAGCCCGCTCCCCAGGCCCTGGGCCAAAAGAGAGTTCAGCGGGGCAGAGGGGGTCTGGCACTGCGCCCTCAATTGGAAAGAAAGTCGATGGCGGCGCGCACGGATCGATTGGTGCTGACGTCGACGGCAGTGACCTTAATCTCGGTGTCGCCAAACTGCATGGCAGTACGGATCTCGAGGCGGCTAGGGGGCGCGCCAGCGGCATGGGGGCCTCCCTCGGCGGGCTCGAGCTCTAGACTGAGCTCGCCGCACTTGCGCAAGCCCGGGCGCGCGTCCTGGGCGGCGCAGCAGTACAGGTCGATGAGCACGCACCGCTGGCCTGGGCGCGCCGGACAGTAGCTGCGCAGCACGTCCTCGCCCAGGGCCACCGACTGCGCGGCGGCCACGAAGCGCTCGAACACGTCGGTGCACCAGCGGCGGCCGCCGCGAACCAGCAGCTTGTCGGGCGGGTGGCGCCCAGCCACGAAGCGGTTGAGCACGTCCACGCCGTACGTGAGCGGCGAGCGGCGCACCCGAACCACGCCCGGAGCCTGCCCGAAGAGCACCGCGCGCTTTAGGATGGTGAGGCCCACGTCGTGCGGAACCACCACGCGGAGGCCGCGGGCGCCCAGTGCTGCCTGCACCGCGTGCTGCAGCACTGCCGACTCTGAGAAGCTGCCCACCAGGAACAGCAGCTTCACGCCTTGCACTTCGGGGCGCGCCAGCAGCGCCTCTGCGGTACAGGAGTGGAGGGTGGGTGTGAGGAGGAGGGACGTGGAGTGGGCCACTGAGGCCACCACTACGCAGCCACTGGCGCCTCTCCTCTGCCCGCCTGTATCCTCGAGCAACCAGAAACTAGTCATTTCACTATAAAACGGTAGCCTGGTTCCCATAAAGAAAAACACCGGGCACTTTCATGAGGGCCCCTGGCAATCTTTATGGGCTCTGCTTCCCCACCACACCATTGAGGGCTTGAGATAAGGGTCTGCATTTACACATATTAAATGCCTACTATGTGCACATTGCACTCACTCTCTAGATACTTCAGCTCATTTAAATCCCTGTGATAACAGTTTGGGGGACCTAATACTATCGCCCCATTTGGGGAAACATGCACCAGAGGTTCTTTAACCTGGCAAGACTGCATATCTTCCCGCCACACTGCATCCTCCAGGTATTCCAGATGATTCTGGGTCTCATTCCAGTGTATGGATATGGGGAGGTTTCCAGGCACTAACAGGGTAACATATTCCCGCATCTGGGTATGTATGTTGAGGTGAATGAAGGACCCAGGCTCAGGCGCTCACCTATGTGCTGGATGATCCCGCTGACCGTGCGCTGAAAGAGGTCGTTCATGGCCTCACAAGACATCCTGAGCATCCCCTGTGAGGACCACTTCACGAAGTTCACGCTGCTCCTGCGCAGGGCTGTCTCCACGTTGTGGCCTCGCTGCTTGCGGTAGAAGTCAATAAACGAGAAGGGCAGCGAGATGTTGAGCGCCCCCGCACGGTGTGGGCCTGCGGTGCGTTTGCAGGCCTCGAAGGCTATAGTCAGATCCACCCAGGCTGCTGGGCGTTGCGTTTTGAAGGTGCTGATGAAGTCCTCGCTGAAGATGCGGCCCAGCAGCTGCTCGAAGGCCAGGTCCACGCCCACCGCGCCACAGGGGCCACCAGATGCCTTGTAGAGCTCCTTGAGGGTGCCGTGGGGCTGCTCCAACTGATGCACAGTAAGGTCCACCGTGCCTCCCCCACAGTCTGCCACCACGTAGCGGTCTCCTGCTTGCATCTCAGCCCACAGTTCTCCGACACCCGATTCCACCAAGAACGTGCGGCTGTGGCGGGACCTTCGAAGCTGCTCTCGGGCCTGACGGAAGCTGGGATCAATGGAATAGCTCTCGCCCAGGCACCCACTGCCTGGAGCTCGGCTGCTCAGGTCCACGAGCTGGTGCAGACGCAGCTTGCGGCAGTAGACAGAGGCGGCCTCAGGCTCCAGGGCGATGAGTAATTGCTCTGCATCCTCTCTTGACACCAGTTCGGCCAAGTAGTCAGCCTCTCGCATGAACTGCTTAGCTGGCTGTTTCCAGATGGCCGGCACTGTCAACACCCAGCGCACAGTGTCCTTCTCTGGCAGCGATGGGCACTGGTCCCTCAGCTCCTGAAGGGCATGCTCCTTGAAGAAGCGCAAGGCATGGGCGAACACCTCCAGGGCAGGCATTTTCTTTCCATTTACCGCTTCTAGCTGGGTCTTCAAGGTGAGATCAGTGGCACTGTGGATCTTCATCTTGAACTTCTCAAGTAGAGCCAGTCACGAGCCTCCTCAGGGTCCAGCTCGTGGTAGTAATCACGGGCTGTATAGCCAAAACTGTGAAAGGCACCCTCTGGGGTCAGCAGCAGGCAGGTGGGGGTCTTCCAGTGGGCCACACCTGGGTCCCCGCCCTCCCATTTCCTTTTAGGGTTCTTGTGAATATGGTGCTTGGCATCCACTTAAATCTCCATAAACGTTGCTCATGGGATCCTCTCTATCCATGGGGCCATGGGTCCCATCCGACATCCTCAGCTCCTGCTCCCTCATCATGTGGATGGCCTCAGGGTCACTGGCAAAGCTGAAGGCATAGCTACTGGATGTGGTGCCGAAGTCGATGGCCACTACCACAGAGAAGGGGGCCTGCTGGGGGGCTCGGGCCTCAGGCTTTGGAGACTGTGAAGGTGTGAGGGGGGCAATGCCACAGCTTTCCTGGGTCCTTGGGGAGCCGGGTGGGCTGGGCACTGGAGACTGCTCTGGGCAGGAGCCGCTGTACAGCCCCTGCAGGCCCATCTCCGGGACAGCCAGCATCTTTGTAGGCCCTGTGGCTCTGCCCTGCCGACAGCTCGACCTGTGTCCAGACGCCTGGATCCTGGGCCCAAAGCCAGTGGGGCCCAAAAGCAGTTCTAAGAGGGAAGTTTATAGCAATTCAATCTCAAATCAAGAAACAAGAAAAATCTCAAATAAACGATATAACCCTACACTTAAAACAACTAGAGAAAGAAGAACAAAAAAACCCCAAAGTCAGTAGAAGGAAAGTAAGCATAAAGATCAGAGCAGAAATAAATGAAATAGAAATGAAGAAAACAATAGCAAAGATCAATAAAACTAAAAGCTGGTTCTTTGAGAAGATAAACAAAATTGATGAACCCTTAGCCAGACTCATCAAAAAAAAAAAAAGGGAGAGGTTGAAAATCAATAAAATTAGAAATGAAAAAGGAGAAATCACAACTGACACTGCAGAAATACAAAGGATTGTAAGAATCTACTACAAACAACTCTATGCCAATTAAATGGACAACCATGATGAAATGGACAAATTCTTGGAAAGGTACAATTTTCCAAGACTGAACCAGGAAGAATTAGAAAATATAAACAGACCTATCACAAGTAATGAAATTGAAACCGTAATTAAAAATCTTCCAACAAACAGAAGTCCAGGACAGATGGCTTCACAGGAGAATTCTATCAAACATTTAGAGAAGAGCTAACACTGATCCTTCTCAAACTCTTCCAAAAAATTGCAGAGGGAGAAACACTCCCAAATTCATTCTACAAAGCCACCATCACCCTGATACCAAAACCAGAAAAAGACATCACAAAAAAAGAAAATTATAGACCAATATCACTGATGAACATAGATGCAAAAATTCTGAACAAAATACTAGCAAGCACAATCCAACAACACATTAAAAGGATCATACACCATGAAGCTTTTGAGAAAATTCAGCACCCATTTATGGTAAAAACTCTCCAGAAAACGGGCATAGAGGGAACCTACCTCAGCATAATAAAGGCCATATATGACAAACCCACAGCAAGCATCATACTCAATGGTTAAAATCTGAAAGCTTTTCCACTAAGATCAGGAACAAGACAAAGATGTCCACTGTCGCCACTCTTATTCAACATAGTTTTGGAAGTCCTAGCCACAGCAATGAGAGAAGAAAAAGAAATAAAAGGAATACAAATTGGAAAAGGAGAAGTAAAACTGTCACTGTTTGCCGATGACATGATACTATACATAGAAAATCCTAAAGATGCCACCAGAAAACTACTAGAACTAATCAATGAATTTGGTAAGGTTGCAATTTGGTATTGGTATGCAATGAGGAAAAACCCAGCATACTTCTATGCTAACCCTGCTAAAAATGTATAACCTGAATCTAATTAAGAGGAAACATTAGAAACCTAAATTGAGGAATATTCTATAAAATATTGATAACTTCATGAAAATCAAAGTTTCAGGAACTGTTTTGATTAAAGACTAATGAGATTTGATAATTAAATGCATCACTATAAAGGACATTATTGGGACAGTTGGCTAAACTTGAATGGGGTCTGTGGATTAGATGATAGTAATGAGTAGATGTTAATTTCCTGATTTTGATAATTTCACCATGGTAAGGCATCATACTGGCAACCTATTCTAAAAGGTTCAGGGGAAAAAAGACCTCCTTTTTTTTTTTACTGTTCTTACAATTTTCTCTAAGTTTGCAATTTTTAAAAAAGAAATAGGAAAAAATATTACCAAGGGGGTCAAAAAGGATACCATTTGAAACACTGGACCTGATGGCCAATGTCCTAAATGTAAAACATGATTCCTGAAATTGTGTGTAGAAACACAGTGCTTTGCAGGTGTAGCAGTAGCAATTGCTCTCCATCTAACCACACCTTCCAAGATCCTGCTCAAGACCTTCCTCCTCTTGGAATCCTTCTTTGAGTCTTCCAGCTCACACTTACCATCTATTCCATACCTGAACTCCATATACATATTTTTTATATCACTTCTTTGATACTTAATCATATACAACCTTGTGACTTCTCTTGTGTTATTGTCTTATATAAATTTTGAGTTACAGTTTAAATCTTCTCCTGAATATATCTCCATTATTATATTGTAATCAACTTAAGAGCAGATATCATATATGATCTCTTATTTTCTCCCGAGTACCTAGCATATGTTTTGCAATCGCGTTTCCACATTCCAAGGACTGTCAAAGAATAATTAATCTCACTTTGCAAACATTTCCTGCATACCAACCATGTATTAGGTACTGTAAATAATAATTCCTTTCATATATAGAATGCTTGATAGTTTTTACACCACCTACACATCCATTATCTCATTTGTTGTACATAATAACTCTGTGAGGTAGGTGCCACCGCATGATAAACATGCTTAGAGAAGAACTGTGATTTACTGGAAGTCACACAGCTATTTAATGGCAGAACTGAGGTGCCAATCTTGGTCTTCAGATTCCAAGTCCAGTGCTTTTTCCACACCACCACAGGAAACAGGTAAGAAGTCTGGACACACTGATGGTCATAGGTATTGCATGTTTTCTATTGCTGCTATAACAAATTGCCACAAACTTAGTGGTTTATACAACACAAATATATTATCTTATAATTCTGTGAGGTAGAAGGCTGACCCAGGTATCACCGGGCTAAAATTGAGTCAGCAGGGTTGCATTTCTTGCTAAAGACTCTAGAAAAGAATCTGTTTCATTGCTCTTTCCAGCTTCTAGATGCTGCTCACATTCTTTGGCTGATGTCCCTCTTTCTCCATCTTCAAAGCAAGCAACAGTGCATCTCTATGCCTTTCTTCTATAATTACATCTTCCTCTGACTCTTCCACTTATAAAAAACCTTTGTGATTAAGTTGCACCTACCCAGATAATACAAGATAATCTCCCTATTTTAGGGTTAGTTGATTAGCAACTTAATACCTTCGGCAACCTTAGTTCCCCTTTGCTGTGTATCCTAACATATTCATAGATTCTAGGGATTAAGATGTGGACATCTTTAGGGGGCCACTATTCTGCCTATCATGTACATGGTTTTCAAAGTTTCACTTCTCAAAGATCCACTGAGCGTTTTAACAACATCATATGAACAGTTCTTCCATCTACTAAAACTCAATCATCAGATTCCAATGGGACACTTTGTTTACTGGTATGTTATTAACTTTTAAAAAAAAATAAGTTTATTTATTTTTGGCTGCGTTGGATCTCCACTTATGCGCACAGGCTTTTCTTTAGTTGAGGTGAGTAGGGACTGCTCTTCGTAGTGGTGCTCGGGCTTCTCATTGCGGTGGCATCCCTTGTTGCGGAACACAGGCTCTAGGCACACAGACTTCAGTAGCTGTAGCTCTCGGACTCTAGAGTGCAGGCTCAGTAGTTGTGGCGCACGGGCTTAGTTGCTCCGAGGCATGTGGGGTCTTCCCAGACAAGGGCTTGAACCCGTGTCCCCTGCATTGTCAGACAGATTCTTAACCACTGCACCACCAGAGAAGTCCCTGTTATTAACTTTTAGAAATTAGTTTCTATGAAAAATAAGCCAGAGTTTGATTTACAAAAATTAACATCATTTGAGTCCATTGGTTCTTTTTTTTTTTTTTGGCTGGACAACCATGCAGCTTGTAGGATCTTAGTTCCCCGACCAGGGATCGAACCCGTGGCCCCTGCAGTGGAAGCGCAGAGTCCTAACCACTGGACTGCCAGGGAATTCCCAGTCCATTGGTTCTTAATTCAACAAGTAAGGGAATTGAGGCCAGTGACATTAAGTAACTTGCCCAAGAATACACAGCTAGTATGTGGCAGAGCAAGTATTCAAACTTAGGTGCTATTGCAAAGCTCTTGACTTTTCCAATATACCATTTTCTCATCAAGAATAGGTAATCGTGGGCCTAATGCTCTAATCTAATGCCTGTGATTTAAACATTAATTTATTGCTTTGGATCATACATTTCTTATGGACTACCTTGAAAATGCAAATCCCTGCAGTAGAGGATTAAATAAGATGTGTGTGTTGTAAAGGGAGAAAAACATATGTGATATATGTGTGCATTAGTTTGTAAGCAGACAGTTGTGATAGTAAGGAAAGGCCTAGAAGGGGCTGGTTCAAGGTTCTGACTGCCACCTGTATGATCTTTGACAAGTCCTAAACTCTGGTAAACTCTCTTAACCTTGTTTTTCCAACTATAAAATACATCTTTCCTAGTTTTTTTTTTTTTTTGAGGATTAAGTTCTTGAATAGCACTTATACAGAGCCTGGCCCAAAATATGTCATCAGGAACTGCCGGCAAGTGTAAAGATCCTGATGACTACCGAACACCCCTGTTGATGGGGAGTGGGTGATTTCTTTTTTTTTCTTTTCTTTTTTTTTTTTGCAGTACGCGGGCCTCCCACTGTTGTGGCCTCTCCCGCCACGGAGCATAGGCTCCGGACGCGCAGGCTCAGCGGCCATGGCTCACGGGCGCAGCCGCTCCGCGGCATGTGAGATCCTCCCGGACGGGGGCACGAACCCATGTTCCCTGCATCGGCAGGCGGACTCAACCACTGCGCTACCAGGGAAGCCCAATGTGGGTAATTTCTTGACTGACCACAAGGTGGAGCTAGAGACATGGGAATGTATGTCCCGTCCTTGAACAGGAATTTGGGACTTTAGGGGAAAAAAGAATAACCTTTCTATTTCAGTCTTAACAGAGTAAATTCTATCTCCCTTTAAACAACTGCCATGTTGCTCCATCATGAGAGCTTTTAGGTTTTTGTCCGGTTGGTTGGTTTTTGTTTTTCAAAAAGAACCAGATGGGCAAAGGAGCTTTCAGTAGATATTCTTTAATAATGTTAATTTTATTTCTTCTTGGAGAAGATGACTGTACGGTTATGAGAGAAAATCTTTAATACATTTTATTTTCTTTACCTTCTTCAGTCCAGAAGACAGAGGCAGTACTTGTCTATATTCTTTGCTCCAAAATGCATACTTGTCATTTTTCCCAAGACGCCCATTGGGTCCCCATGCAAATAGGACTCCTAGAAGTCTACTTAACATCCTAGGATTCTAAGGATGTGGATTAGGCTTCTGTTGTTCTCAGAGGATCACTTTGAAAGTACATTTCGGTAAGCTCATTAAAAACTTAACTCTCCAGAGGATGTGGAGAAAAGGGAACGCTCCTACATTTTTGGTAGGAATG